TGCAACAGTAACATAAAAATATTCAAATAGTGATTAAGATGGACACAAACAGTAGGTTAATGACATAATCCAGGGTTGGTGGGAGGTGGGGACTTTTTTCCAGAAGACAGGCGCATTATCCCAGAGCATTCATAGGTCTGAAATCTGACTCTGTCTTTCATTAGAAAACACCCCAGCCAGCTCTTTTTTTATCTTTGGAATGTTAACAGAGTTGCCATAAAGATGAGAAATAAAGGGCTCAGCAGCAAATCATCACCACTTTTATAAGCTGAAAAGACTTCATGGAAGAAGTGGCACTAGTTCATCCTTAGCGGACACTAGAAGAATTGGATAAATAAAAAGAAGCCGAGAGCACTCCCATCTGAAGAGCATCATGAAACCAAGGCTCAGAAGCCTTCTGCTTATCTTATTGAAATGCAAAGACCCCAAGATACAACTTAATTGGGTGTAAAACTCTTTAAATTCATGTTCCCCCCAAATGAAGCATCACTTGCGATCTGTCAACCAAGTGCAGTACAAGGAACTCCCCCTCTGCCTTCTTGGGCTTAGTGGACTAATCGCTCTGGCTGAGTTCTAACCCCAGCGTACTGGGGCCTCCACGGGACAACTCTCTGTGTTCCTCACTCCAGATGTTATGAGGATTAACCAATCAATGTGAAACACCTTGTAAAAACATGTCAGGCCTACTAATGTCCTTCTGTATTAGTTCCCGTTCAATCCACACTTTGGCTTGGCGGTTAGAGCTGCATATGTAACCATGGCCCACCTGACCCAGAATTCCAACTTTCGTCCAGCCGCCTGACTTGCAGCATGTTAAGACTGCAAAAGCAGCAAGAACAGGACTTCCAAACGCTACTGAAGCCAGAGACTCCTGGGGGCAAGTTGCTGTAATGGTCTGTGCAGGTCAATTTAGCTTTGGCTAAATTCCGCTTAGCCTTATCTATGGGGATGTTGCCAAAATTCTAAGTCACACAAAAAATAATTTAAAAATCACAGTGAGAATTAGACTTTGTTGCTTCACTGATCTTAGAGTCCAGAAGAACCTGGAGTGGGCTCTATGTCGCTCCTTTCTTTTTTATGAGAAGGAAGTATAAGGAACCATGTCTGTCCTACCAGGAGCCCCAGCTACGACACCAGCAAAGGCTAAGCTAATTAGAGCCACTGCTTCTCATGAGCCATCTTCATCTGTCAACTCCCTGAGAACCCCACGGGCCACGCTGCAAGGAATGCCATCACAGCACTCTGCAAAATGAGCTTTTCCCAACAGGATATCACCCCCACATGCACCTCAGAGCAGATGCTTAAGCTCAAAACAAAGACTGCACCTCTCATGAACAGGTCAGCAGGGGAGGAAAGGTGCCAAAATGGGTGCACTCAGCAAATATTTTTTTTCCTGCCCAAATGTTCCTACTTCCAGTTACCTAGTGACATAATTTAGTCATATTTGCAATTTTTTTATCCTTAGTTACTAGTAGGAGTGAAGTATTTTGGCCATTTTCTAGAAATACTTTCTGCTGCAAAATATTGATATACTAAGGGTTGAAAAGGAAAGCTCTAATAATTATTATTTTCCAATAAGCAAACAGAGCTGACCTGAAAGTAACATTCTGTAATTATTTTTTTTAATTTTTAAAATTAAATGTATTTCAACTGATCTATAAAAATTGTACACATTAATGAGGTGCCATAAGATGTTTTGATACACGTATACATTGTGCAATGTTTACATCAGGTTATATATATCTTTATCTCCTGTCCAACATGGCATTTTTGTGGTGAAACATTCAAAACACTTTTTTTCTAGCTTTTTTAGAAATTCAGTACATAATGGCTATCTACAGTCACCCTACTGGCAATAGCCCTCCAGAACTGCTCTTTCCCATCCGAATGCAACTTCTACCCATTGATCAAGCTCTCCCCATCCCCCCACCTAAGTAATTACTAGGTAAATGGCATTTCCAAGACTAGTAGAGCAGTGGTAACCAGTAATATAACCTGAAAGGTCTATATATATGTCACAGACAGCTGGTGAACCAGCTTTTGCTCACTACATGTTAGCGGTGCTATGATATAGCTAAGTAGGTTACTGCTGAATACATGTTAGGATTTCGTCATTTGAATATATTTTCTGGGCTGAGAGTATAGCTCAGCAGTAAAGCATTTGCCTCGCATGTGGTAGGCTCTAGGTTCCTGGCCCAGCAACACTGTACACACACAGACACACACAGACACACAGACACACACACACACGTATACAGAAATATCTATTTCTCATGTAGAACTTTTTTCCTTTATTCATAATCTTTAAAATTTAGCAAAACAAATCAAAGGACCACCCCCATGATAATGTCTTGTGCATTTATCCTGGCAGGCAATTTAAAAAGAACTTGATGCAAACTTTGTGCGTGGACATCATAGACGCAGCTATATGGATGAGTTGAGTCGTCCTACTAATTTTAAAAACAGACACGAATCTCACTTTAAATGTCAGTCCTGAGCGGGAGGGTTGTCACACTATTGCTGCTGATGAAGAATTCCACCTCAAAAATCTCGAGGGCTGGCAGTGGCCAGGTGCACCTGGCTGAGGTTTAGACGCCAGGCTGCGTGGCGTGAGGTATGGTGGAACTGCCACTGCTGATCAGCAGAGCCTGTCCATGTCTACACTGCTGGCTTGGAATTCTGCTTGGAAGGAGTTTCAAAGCCAAAGAAGGTAAGAAGAAGCTGTTCCAAAAGCTTCCTTCTATGAGTCAAGAGAGGGCGAGAGGGACATGCGGGTGCACTGTTGTCACAGGAGTGTGTTCTGGTTCTTAGTAGATAGGGAAATGTGTCAGGGCAGGGTGCTGTATGTGGAGAGCTAGAGAAAAAAGAGGGGCGTTGGGCATGCCCCAGGGGAGATGCCCTCAGGATGGGTTGGCAGAGGGCTTCCTGCTAACTCTTAGGCCGCTGGGCATGCCATTGGCACCAACAGACACTGGAACCCTACGTCTGGGACTCATAACTGGCTGTAATTTACAACCAAGGGAGAACCCGGTCCAGAGTACCAGGCAATTGATGATATGAGTATTCATATTTGACGTAATCAGCATTAGGAAATATGTGTATCAACTGGTTCTTAGAAACCTCATCTGATACTTCCAACATAAAACCTTGGAACTGGATCATTTGCCTTTAAAAATACACATTGGTCCTATCTTAATCCTTGCTGTTTGAATTTCACCCTTCCTGGGCTGGATATATTTTTAAAGGAAAAAGTAAGGTAGAATGAAAAGAGCCCTGGCATGTTGCTGGCTACTAACTTCTGCAAAGTCTTACCCCTGGGGCCTGGGCTGCTCCGAGTACTTCAGCTCCATAGCCATCTAGAAGGTGGCAGGGTTGGTCCCTAGGGATCGTTCAGCTCCTAGCTCTTGCAGTCTGGTTCTTTCTGACCATCCCAGGTGCTCTTTGGGTTTCAGTTTGATGTGCCAGAAACACACCATCCCCAACAGAAGTAGAAATTTTCTTCTGTAAGTGACTTCAAAGACTTCCTGCAGGACCCCAGGATTTCATCAAGGGAACCCTGGGGAACTCTGGGGCTCCTTGGGTTTTCCAAGTGGTTTTTATAAAGATGATGCCTCATGCACATAGGGAATTTGTTAGATTTTCTTAAATCAGAGACTGTAGATTATGTTCTTAAGGTCACTTAAGCTTTGTAGTGTTATTTTTATCATGCGGTTTCCTGTTTTTCGGTCTTATCTCTGACACTACCGATACCTTAGTTATCCTTTCACCACTCACAGTAACTCAGTACATACTCGGCCTCCACAGATCTGACTGATGTGACTTTCACTTGAATCTCATTGTTGTTTAGAAAATGTGATTAGACCCATGACATTTTTACAAGTGAAAGAATAAAGAAACCAGCATGCCAAGCGCCCTTTCCCCACTGTGTTTCAATTTGCACCAAGAAGCATCATGGTGCAAAGCCAACTACAGAGTGGGAGCACCGGTGGGTGTAGCCTCTGGGTGCCCATCTGCACACCCACAGGGCCAGCCTAGTGCCCACCAAGGGTGCAGGGAGGTGGCCCTGGAGTCAAACCTGTGCTGCAGATGGCTGCTCTGAGGAGGACTGCTGTGTTTAGTCTAAATACACATCAGCGGCTTGTGTCACCCTCGCCTGTTGTCCAGCCGGTTGCCATAGTCTTCCCTCTGGTCAAGCCTGCCTTTCTCCTTTTAAAGTTACATTTATGGTGGGCTTTCTGGAGAGGACGTGGGGCGGCAGCAGGAGCTGATGATGAGATGCACGCTTCCCTCCTCACAGAGGAATCCCTCCACACCTTCCAGAACCTAAAAGCCCAGCAACATCAACTTCTGAGAGGAGTTCTGAAGAAACATTCCCAGATTTTAAATCCTAAATGTGCTGTTTAATTATTATTTTCCCTCATTAGTAAACATTTTGGATTTCAACAGAAAAAGACATTCAGATACAATTTTTAAATTCTGTAAAAAATTACCATTAGGGAACCCTGTAAAAGTATAAAACAGAAAGCTCTTGGGTAGAACAATGCAATTATGCCACCAAGATTTTCCATCTTTGGTACTGCTCAGCACATTATAAACACTGCAGTGGGCAAAAAGCAAATGTTATTTACATGAAGCTGAGCAATCGGCCCTGATGCCTGAGCAGAACTTTGCTCAGAGACAGTGAAGATTATATATTTATAGTGGTTGAAGTTTGTATTTTCACCAAAATCATTCAGATTTCCCTTCCCTGTACTAAGTGGCTGAGCTGCTCATTTCTATACTTCAGTATGTATTCATCTTAAACTCCTGTTGCTGGTTTTAATGTAAATATCTCATGCATTCTTTAATGTTCTTTAACATATTGAAATAAATTAGCATCTTGACTAAACCTAAGACCCACGTTAGCCTCCCCTAGCAGCCTCACTAGGGGAAGTTGTGGAGGAAGTGACCCATCTCACACCAGGAAGCTATTGCCACACAGAATCAGAACAGGAGATATGCTAAGGGACGATAGAAAGCAAAGTATAGCTAATGAATTATTTGTTGATTAATTAATTTAAATATATATATGTAGAGAAGTTAACAGGAATGCAAACAAAAATAAAGTGAGGTGAGGGGGCTAGCAAGAAAAGAAATTCTGACTGTCTTCTGCCCCCCATGGAGCACATTTGTAGCAGGAAGTAGGAGGGGTTGGAGGAGACGGGAAAGAAGCAGAGAACAAATGGAGGTGTCCAGGCCAGCAGCCCTGAGATGCTCTTTGTATCTCCACCCCAGACCACCCCCAAATGACAGCAGGTCTGTTTCCTTTCCCCTTTCTCTTTTCCTTATTCCTGCTGCATTATCCCTCCTTATTTCCTGCCTCTTTGCCTGGGGGTGGAGTGGGGTAATCCATGTTCATGGATATTCCCTCCGGCCAGCTGCTTCACTGATTCCATACAGAGGAGAGAGCAGGTGGCACTGAATGCTCTGGACTCTGGAAGGGAGGCCAGGGGCCACAGCAGCCCTACACATGCACTCAGCTCTCACCACACTGGCAGCCATTCAATACCCACTCACCTCCCACTACCCTTCACCTTCTTTCACACAAAGAGACGAGATGAGCTGTGATTAGACGAGTCACATGTTTGGCTGTGAATTTCATAGATCCAAAGCAGAAAGCCACATACCAAATAGGTGCCACGTTATGCTAAAACAACAAGTGTGGATGCTATTTTTAAAAAGAAGAAGATGATGATGATTTATCATTGCATTTAGTACCCATTAGGGTTTGGTGTGCAGCTCTGGTGGGAGAAAGACGATCTTGGGATCTGCATGTTAACAATACTGCTAACTTGAATCTTCCTACACTTGCCTCCCCACCAAAAATGTCTTCCTTAGAAAAGTGGCAGCTGGAGTGATAGGCCTGGCATCAGAGGAAGGACTGGGTCCAAGGGAGAAGGGGCCCACCCTTGGCTGAGTTCACCTAATGAGACTGATCTAACAGTCACAAGATGTTTCCTCCTGAGAGACAAGGTAAGACCTGCTCTCCTGCCCTCCCTGGGTCCCTCATTGCCTATGAGAAATGAGCACACACCTGGGGCAGCTCCATCTCTGAGCTCAGCCCCTGCAGTGCTCTCCTCTGTCAGGTACATTGTCTGGGAAATGGAAACACCAGAGAACAGATGCTCCCAGCCACCCACAGAATCCTGCCAAGGGTCATCAATTGGTGAGCAAAGCAAAGGCTTGCAAAAGAATCAGACATAGCTTCAAGGAGAGGCAGGAAGAAGGAGGAAGGCTCTGGAGGATGGACGGTGACGTGCACCTTAAGAAAACTGACCAGGCACTTGGGACTCCTGTGCCATCCTTATTTGGCCTTGAATTTTCTAGATATTGGGCAATGTTTGTCAGAACTAGATTTATCCAAATCCCTGCCTACCACCCATTCTGCTGCCTAGGGATTTTTGTAATCAGGAATTTATTCTCTTCCTAAAGTTCTTTTGTTTTGCTATTTTTTGTTATTTTAAATTTAAATATCTTAAAGCCAATGAGGTCAATATTAACATGTTGATAGGTCTCCTTAATAAAAAAAAAAGTTTTCTTTATTTCATATCTTTTTTTTAAGTATAAGAATCAATTCACGTAGGTTTCAAATAAATTTGTAAAACTGGAACCAGTGAAAATTTTATTAGTTATTATAGACTTTGGTTAGACTGTTTCTTATTCTGAGTAAAATATCATTTTCTGAATAAAGAAATTGTTTTTAATTACAAAGTTAAATGTAAGGTTTCAAAGTGCATAATTTTAACCTCTGAGAGTCAGTCTGAACCAACCACTCTTCCTTCTTATTCTACTGCAACTTTAAACCTGAGAATATTTTTTAAAAATTTTTCTATGGTTATTTAAAAGTAATTTGCAAGATGCTTTTATAAAAGGTTAAGTCATACTGTTAAAACATACATTTAAATTGTCAGAAATGTCAAAGCATATAATGTGAACTACTATTTGTAGGAATAAGGAAATTGATGCAATAGAAAAAGTAAAATCTCTAAAGACAAGTACCTGATGATACCTTGGTCATACCTCTCAAAGCTTGATTTTTCATTTCAAAAATTGAGATCATGGTTTTGGCACATCAGAGGTAGAAACTGAAAATACTCAGCTGAAATAAAAAGAAACTGAAACCCCAATTTAACCCTATATCTGTGAAAAATTCTGAAAAATCAATCATTTTAGTAGATGCCAATCTAACCTACAGTTATTATTCAGAACAAAATATAGCATGCATTTATGGAAGTCACTTTTTCATAAAGAGCCCAGAAATAAATGAGAACACTCTTGAACACCCAAAAGTGCTGTCATAAAGCCAGAGGTCTCACACCTGTTCTTTTGCAAAATTTATAGAAAATGTGGCCCAAACTTACACATAAAAATCTATAATGGGTTCAAAGATATAAGAAGAAACATCTATACACAATCCCACAAGACGAAAAATAGATTACCAAGAAATATGTAGGAAAAAATTTGCAACAGTAGTAATGAAAGAAAATATTAATCAGATATATTCTTTAAGTTGTTAAATGATTGAGTATTTGTTTTTAATGCTAACATTCATTGTGTCTAATGGTAAAGTCAAGTTTTCTCTCTGTACATTGGTGATGGGCATGTAAAGTTGAACAGCAGTTCTGAGAGACAATTTAGGAAATATTTGTTAAGCTCCTTAAGAAAAGGAATCCTCTTCAACAAAGTGCCTCCCCTTCTAGCACTCTGTTTCAAAGAAACAATGCAAACTGTGGACAAAAATTTACACACGGGGATGGTTCTCCCTGCACTATTTATAAGAGCTAAAAAAGGAAACAAGAAATCAAATGTAGATGCAGATGCAAAAATTAATTTTAATTTTAATGCAAAATCAAATAGAGTCATGATAAAAAATTATGCCTGTAATTTATTTTTGTTTTTATTTTTTGCAGTGCCAGGAATTGAACCTAGGGATCCACATGTACTATGGAAGCACTTTACCATTCTGCTACACTTTCCAGCCCCATGTCTTTAATTTTAATGAATAAAAAGTATTTTCAAAAAATACTGCTAATCTGAGAAAATGCTTATTGAACAATACTAATTCAAGAGCAAATAAAATGTTAAAATATTATATAAGTACAACTAATCAAAATAATATAATATAGATTGTAACATCAAATGTATAAATAATGCCTACATATTTCTGTATAACACACAAACCTATATTTGCATGATTATATTTAGATATATAAAATTATTTTAAAGAGATTCCAATATTGAGTATTCTCTCTAATTTGTGTATCACACATCCCATTGATACTTTTCTATTTTTCCAAAATTTTCAAAATAAGCTCATGTTATCATAACTCAGCATTATATATTATGTGTAGAAGAATGATTCACTGGATGGAATTATTTTTTCATCCTGCTCAGAGCCTGCCTGGTAGCTCACCTTACAGATCCACTTCTGTTACAAATGGCAACCTGGTCTCCGGAGGCATAACTGACCAGGGTCAGGGGATGAGGAAGTGGAGGGAAGTGAGTTCAGCAGCAGCGTTTCTCATTAGCTCCACGAGGGCCCACCACACTGGATGGAGACCACTGACTCCCATTGACACCTGTGACCCTTCACAGACACGCAGACCACCTGACCCGGTTCTCACAGAAGCTGCGTACCTATAAAACATCTGGAAAGGTTCATCTCTGCATCTCTGGGTCCTGCAGTGCAGCAGGATGGCTAAACTCTGGTTCTGAACTCCAGCTCACCACTTAGTGCCTGGACGGCCCTGGTAAGGCTTCTACGTCATCCTGACCCTCAGCTCCAAATCAGAAAAATGGCAGTGAACATAGTTCTATTGGTTGTTGTGAGGGTTCAATGAATAATTCATGCCAGAATGTAGAAAGAAAGCTTGACAATGAGAGAGGAGAGAATTACAGTGATTGTCATTTTCTGTTCCAGAAGATAAGATTTCTTAAAGTGTGACTGGACTAGAATTCTAGCCCACTGACTCGCTGAACTAGAATCAAGTAGAAGGCTCGTCACAGATGCAGATTTTTTAACATTACCACAGTACTCACTGTACTGCTTGTGAGTTTCCAAGGGGTCCTGAGAGTACACACGTGGAGAAGTTCTGAGGTTCTTGCTTTGTGCACTAAACTTCAAAACTCACCATACCCAAAGTGTTATTGCATTGAAAATTCTCTGTCAAGGTGCCTCGCTCATCAAGAACCATTAAAAAGTGTTCAGTATTTCTACTTTAGGGGCTGAGAAGCACATATACCCTTGTAAATTGCTATCTTAAAAAAATACCTAAAAAAAGGATTAAAGCTTTATTTCTAAGTTTATTTCATTTTAAAAAGAAAATTTTAGTTGTTTGGAAAATTCATGTATGTGAAACGCTTCATTCCTTGATTTGGTTGCTAAAGGACTTGTTATTTCATTAATATCTGCTTTGTATAAAGATATAATTTTATCACTGTATTGTAAAACCTAATGTTACATTTGCTTCTGTAAAAAGTTGAAAGTGTCTATCCATAGTCAAGTATTTTCATGAGTTTTAAATTATAAAAATACAAGCAAAACTTACATGCTCAAAATGACATGAAATCTTGGACTTTTTCCCCATCCAGCATCACTTTTTTGTTTGTTTGTTTGTTTTTTACCCTTTGTCCTATATAAATACAAAGATTTCCTGAAACACAGTGTTAAGAACATATGCTGTAGTATCGGCAGACACCATTCTTCCTTCTGCACAGTTAAAAGCTGCATTCCTATCCCCAAAACCTGACACCTCTGACCAGCTCCAGGGACTGGCTGTCTTAAACTTGTCCTCCTGGGCAAATGCAAGACTAGTTGTAGACCTTCTACTCTGGTTCCGGCATGACTGAGCAGTCCAGCTGATTAGGTTGGAAAAATCACCAAACCTAGTGCACACAATTCAGATAGAAGGGAAGAAGAGTCTACACTGCTAAGATGCTCCTGATCTCAATGTGTAGACTTTAATTACAAGTAGAGCAAATTTCTACTCAAAATTCCAGCATTCATCATGTTTAGAGTATCTCTGTGAAATAATTTTACTTCAGTAAGCATTATGAAGACTGGTTTCTGTATCAATTTTAGATTTTAGAATTTTTATTATTCTAAAACCTTATTGGCAAATTAGTCCAATTTATAAACTCTACCTTACTTAAGTAGATGATTTTATCTAGGTTTCCTTGAAATACATGAGGGTTTCAGAGGACATTGAGCTCTTTACCTATACTAAAGAAGACAACCATTTCTTGTCAGTGCAGGTCATTTACTTATTTTTAGCTCATGATAGACATCAAAATATTCATTAAAAAGTTGAAGAAAGTTGCACATATTCAGTTGGGGAAGATAAAGGCGCATGCTTGGGAACCTCTCAAGGGTCAAGACCACTAGTGTAAGTTACTCATTCCAGCCTCCCAACATGCCTCAAATTTCCACTGAAGGCACTACCTGTTCTCATCAATGGTCAATACTGACCATTCCAGTAGGCTGTAACACATCAGTGGTCAAGGTGGTTTAGATGTTTTGGGTTATGCCATTCTGCTCCCAAATAAAACTCGCACCTTCATACAGCCAAAGCCTTTACCATGCTGTGAGCCATGTGGTCTTGTAGCTTTAGAGTGCTCTACAACTCATGGCCGTCTGCCTCATCAGAAGGATAAACTAGGAACCTGGACTTGGGTGTGACATTGTAGCAAAGCAGGTGAGGTTTGGAGGGAACACAGATGACCACGGAGACACTGTGAGGGTCCCTGGAGGAGAGTGATGGAATGTCCCCTGAAAGTGGTCATTTGTCCTGATTGCTTTATAGGAGATGGACTCCTCCACAAAATGATGTTTTCTAATTGTAAAATTCCAAAGGTTAAATAAATAAACAAATGGGATGCAAAATGCCTGAAGTCTTCTAAAAAATTTTTTGACAGGATTTATTGCAAACAGGCCTTATTTTTAAAATGTAGTATGTTGCCACTGTTTTCATTTTTTAATGTAATGAAAACTAATATTCTAATCAAACTTAACCAAATAAAAATTAAACTAAAGAGATTTATTTCTAGTTAATAATACTGTGCTTACTCAATTGTTTCCACCATCCCCCCCCAAAAAAAAAAAAATTAAAGGGAGGGATTCTTAATAAGCTCAATAGAGTCAATTTTTTTTGGTGCAGAAAAGACAAATAACGTAACTCCTAATTCCACTATTTCATTGATCACATTCTTCCTGGGGAAAGACTTGCCCAAACGTGGCTTTCTCCAGTGACTTAATGCTGAGGACACATAGGACGCTGGCTGCTATCTGCCGTCCAAGGAAGCTGAGCTCCAGCCCTCCCACGAGGGCATGGGCAGTAGCACAAGCCCATGCCACCCATCACCCAGTGTCATTGATTCCACATCAGCCCGGCTACAGGAAGCCACTCACAGGTTTGCACCCGTCCACAGACCTGCCTTTCCAGGGAAGAAGCTGCAGTCTAGACTCCTGAGTGACTCCCTGGGCGAAAGGCCAAGTTGAAGTTCACTGCTCCCTTGGTCTTCAGCCCTGGATTTTCCCCACTGTTAGGAAAGTAATGCACCCCTTGCTTGAACTCTGCCTGTTGGAGCTCTCTCTCCAAACTTAAGAACCAAGCAGATTTGGAAGCATTTTCAGAAACTCCCCTGTTATCCAGGCACTTGAAATTCATTTTTTAAGACCCAAACACTGGATCCGACTGTAGGACAGTTGCCATGAAACCTGGGTTCTAATTTCTCTCACCATCCATTATTACCTGGGGATTGCTAAGCGTGTCACTTACTCTGACTGGTCTTGGCTGCTTCCTACTAGCTAACCCGACACACATTAGTGAACACCTGCTGTCCTCCAAGCACCTTACTAGTTCAAGTGGGGATCTACCCAGCTTACCCCAAGACCGATGCTGTCCATGGTGTGGCTATAAAGCACTTGAAGGGTGGCTGGTATGAATCGTGAATTGCATTTCCATTACTTTAAATATAAATTTAAAAGTGAAACTTCATTCAATTATTGGAAAACTTCCAGTATTCTTGGAACGACTTGAGCAGTGAATCTAATTTTCAACTGTTAATTTCATGAAATCTAAATATAGATCAGGTATTTCCAATGAAAACTTGCTATACTGATTGAGCTGTGCTATTAGAGTACACATTTTGAAAACTTGTAGTCTACCTGTTCTATGTTGAAGGGGTAACTTGCTGGATACTTGGCCATCCATCTCTTGGTATCTACATGGAATTGTTTCCAGGGCTTCCCTCACCCATGGGTACCAAAATCTGTGGATGCTCAAGACCCTTATATAAAATGAGATAGTATTTGCACATAACCTACACAATCCTCCCGCGTACTTTAAATCATCTCTAAATACTTATGATACCTAATACAATGTAGATGATATGTAATTAGTTAATATACTACATTGTTTAGGGAATGCAGTGTATTTTCCCGAATATTTTGGGGAAATTATTTTCCCCAATATGTTTGCTCTACAGTTGGTTGAATTGCAAAAGGCAGAACCTGTGGGTGTGGAGGGCTGAGTGTATGGGGTTAAATGAAACTGATTTTTACAATTAGGCACTGGTTTCTTTTTCATGTTTGTTAAGGTGGCTTACTGTGCTTCCCTCCACCTTTCTGTTGGACAGTACAGCTCCAGAACTCCATGATAAACTATTCCATGTAAAGTGCTGGCTTTATTTCTATTAGCTTCCCAAGCCCCAGTCAGCTGGGTCTTCTCCTGTTGGAAACCCTACTGTAGTTTCTTTCCAACCTTTATACCCTGTATACTGCTGGGTCCTCCAAAAACATGACCCTCGGCCAGCACTTAGCTTGTGGCCCATGTCCTGACTTCCTCTGCTGCAGGGAAGACAGCTTGTCCGGCCAATGCACCTCCAGGGCCTGGAGTCCAGCACCACACACAGAGCAGGAGTTCCCAAAGGGTGTCGTGTAAGAGTCAAAGTATCCTGTTCCTGAAAAGTAGCTGAGTTCAGAACTTGAAGGGGGTGACAAGTCACTCTTTTCTATTTATATGACAATTCACCTTAAATTAGAATAAATCTAAATTACTTTAGGAAAACTTTTTTTCTGGTATTTAAAGA